CAACCAGCCTTTCTCTGTGGGGTCGGGTCTTTAAATAACTCTTGCAGGGTGAACCAGGCTGTAATATTTTCATTAAATGTGGACAGAGTAATCTGTCACGAACAGAGTACTTTAGAAAACCAACGAGGAAAAAAGTCTTGTTCAAATCAAGCTGACCCTCTAATTTTACGTCTCAATACCACAGATGAGAGCAGGACTGTTTTGAAAGACATTTGCAATCTGAAAAGTTAACATTTCCAGCATATGTTTGTCTGTGTGTTGCGTATAATTGGTAAATGTGTGGTAGGTTTTCTGAGGTGGCAACTGCAATTGTGGCTTTTGGATTTCAAACAAATGCCATCTGGAAGTTCCTGCTAGCTTTGGGGGTTGCCTCTTAGTTGTGGTTGAGGGAGCCGGCAAGAGGAAAGTGCTTGCTTGCAATCCTAAGCCAAACATGTCGCTGGAAAGTTTGTGGTTTCTATATGTAGTATGAAGTTTGGAGAGCCAGCAAATGATGGCAAGAATATTCTGTGTGCTGAGAAAAGGGCTAGAAAGAAAATAAATAAAAAGAAAGAAGAATTCTCCTTCTCCCCTTATTCCCATCCCTATGGGTCATCTCCCAGGCAAACAAAACCTATTATCTAGAAACAAGTAGTTGAACTTAATGTCTCCAGAGAAACACCTATCTAGTGTTGGTGCCTCAGGGCATTTCTGAGCTAATTATTTATGAAAGGGTTTCTTTTTCAATATTTTTCTGAGGTCCTTTGCCCAGCGGCTCAGGAGATTATTAAATTAGCAAATGCCTAATTTCAGTAACCAAGGCTTTAAGAATGAGTCCCTAAGAAGTAGGGCTGGTGAAAGAAAATAAAATAAATTTGCTGACTTAGTTCCAGTCGAAGTGCTGGGTGACTTTGGTAACTGGCTGAGAGAGATCCGTATTGCCTGCATTTGCCTTCTCTTTTAAGGGAGTTTATTCACGTGGATTACAGTTGTGAGTGTGGGCACCACCCTTACAGCTTGGATGCTGTTGGGTCTTGCTCTAGGATATGAAGTATATGGAAATAGAAGAGCTTGAAGTACGTCAAGTGAGCAAGGAAATTTGGAGACAATGAGAAGAAAGACTCATGAAGTCCCTGAGAACAGAGTAAGACATGGAGGAAAATGCCCCAGGAGAAACTTTTATGATTACAGTGAAATATCTTCTTGCACATTGAGTTATGCAGATTGATTTACAGAGTTTAAAAGGACGTTGCACAATTTACATCTTCTGCCTTTTCAACAAGCAGTGCTAAGAGAATCTGGTAGTGGTTTCGATGCAAAGATGAAGGATGTGCTGAAGAAGATAATGAAGGGCTGTTATTTTAGGGCTTCGCTCTCCTTCTTTCTTTCACTTCAGTGCTCTGTGCATGTTTTGCTTTTTAAGTAGATGTGGTATGCAGAGGAGAGGGGTTGGAAGAAAAGAGTTTCTGGAAAAAAAAAAAAAAAGAAAAACCCAAACACCAAGTGAAAAACAAATCAGATGTTTAATTTTCAACTGATAGTGTTAACTGCAGTCTTAACAAGAAGTTCTTTTGATTTATGTGTTCTTCTGTAGGTATAATGATGATTCAGACTTTTGCCTTTTTATACTGTTGGTGTTGCATAATGCAGTCAAGTTTTGTTTTCCAGAGCTTTCCAATTAAGTTAAGTGTTCAGAAGTTTCCATGACCTTTAGGTTTCTTTGTAGTCCATGTTGTTTTGCAGAGAGTACGATAGACTTTGTGGTTTATTTCCAGTGTAGCTTTTCTTTCATGGAAAAGATGTCACAATGCAAAAAAGCCATGGCTTTGAGTTGTGTTTTTGAGCAGTTTAAGGCTGATTAGACCTAACTTTGAAGTCCTAATATATAGGAAAGTGGGAAAGTGTAATTTATTATCAACAATATGTTCAACAGCCATATACTATAATTTAAAAATTGTCATTAGACTGAATGTATAGGGAAAAAAAATGTGAAAAAGATCTATTTCAAAAAAAAAAAATTCTGCAGAGTACAGAAAAGGGTACCCATACTTAACATATTCACTGGTTCTTACTTATGGTTCTTACTTCAATGTTGGTCTTAAAATGGACTTCGGGACGAGTCAGGTGCCCACTTGGGTGAGATCAGTGAGGATCACACCGAAAGGTGTAAACCTCTTCTGGTCTTGGCTGAAGTTTTGACTTAACAATTTTCTGAGGATGAGGGCCCAAAACTGCAGCATATATTAACTGTTGCAGCATCACTGTGATCTCAGAGGGTGGTGGCTGGAATTCAAGAGGGCTCCATGAGGTGCCTTGTGTCCTGCTGTCCAAGGCGGAGCTGAGGTTTTGTCCTGTGTTTCAGCAGGTCCATCAGGGACTTGTGTTTAGCCTAAGTGGCATCGGATGTTTGCGAAGTGAGAGCTGATCTCTGCCTAGTCCCCTCTTCCCCAGTCTCCTGAACTAATGTATTCTCCTGCAACCTCATATCCTGTTCCTGAGTCCAATTTTTGAAACCAAAGTTTATGTGAAATTGAAAATATGCAGTAGACCATAGTAAATCACTGCCAGTGTGTGTAATATCTTTCATAGGTACATATAGAACAGTAGAGGACTAGAGGTCTTTTTGAGTAATTATGGTATGAACTGTCTAATGAATAAATAGGTATTATTCATGAATGGATACTGTATATACAAGTAAATCAAAACTAGTATATCAATACAACCATGTAAGAGATGATAACAGTTAATAGGAAAAGAGATTAAAAACAAATACAGGAAAAGAGCAACTAAGTGTAAGGAGTGATTTCACTGAAAAGAGAGGACAACCCACTGTAACCATTTTATTTTGCTTATATTATTTTTAGATATATATTTTAGATGTCTTTTTACTTGAACTCCTCAGAAGATTTTATTCTGCATTAGTAGAGGCTGGAAGCTGTGAGGGAATGGAGTGGGATGTATTTGGGAAGTGGGGCGGGACCAGAACTGGTTCCCACTGTGTTAAGGTGTAAGGACTTTCTTACCCCAAGGTGTCTGTTCTTCCAATACTGTTTTAAAGCAAAGACCCTTCCTCCAGCTTGAGGGGAAAAGTATTGGCCTAAGGAGGTATTATGGTAGGGACAGAAATTAAGCCACCTTTTGTTGGAATCTCTCCATACCTCAAACTGTCAAGGTATGTACATGATGTTCCACATCCTCCTGGCAGGATCCTCACCCTGTCACCCTCTGTTGCAAAGCACCCCTGTGATTCTCAAATGGGTGTTTTATGGACGTGGAACTGAGTTTATAAATGTTTGATGAGACTGAAAACCATATGAAATGCAAAGTTTTGGCAGCATTATTAGAAAATGGTGTTTTGAAAATGCATTTGATTTGTAATGTGGTGGCTTTGTTTAGAGCCAAGAGTTCATCATTTTTCTGATTTTGAAATTGTACCTTCTCTTGCCTTCCCATACGTCATTCCTAATCAAATTTTCACCCATGTTTACCTTTCTAACAGTGACTCATGTTCATTAGTCTGAACGTACCAAATTGTTTTGCTGCAGTCTGGGTTTGAGGAGAAATTCTTTGGCTTGTTCCATTTATGTTTTGACCTCAGGATAGAGACAAATTGAAATTGTCCCTCTCTTCCAGCTTGTCAAGAGGCAGAAATCAGATCTTGGAACGATCTCGATAGGATTAAAAATAGCTGAAGGCCTGAGTGCTGCTGTTGACTATCCCTTTATCTGTAACCTTTGTCTGTGTAGAGCGGCTGGTGCTTGATCCAACAAGTTAATGGTGGAATTTTGATCAACAAAGATTAGAAAACTTATAAACGTTTTCTCTTGTTTAACATAAATGTCCTTCGGGTCCTATTTCACATGTTATTTGCATTTTTGCTGCTTCCTAGGTCAAGTGATTTTTCATTTTTAGTGTTGAGAATCATAAGCATTTGTATAGGAGGAAAAGGATATTTATTCATGTTTATGTGAATAAATTCATGATGAGCGCCTATGTAAGCGGGCTTGAATCTTTGCAAGCTTTTTTTCTGCTTTAGCAGGATGTCAATTCAAATACGGCATTCTCAAAAAGATGTTTTCACTTTATTCATTGTTCTCGGGTTTATATTATTTTAAATACCTCATTCAATATTTTAATACTCAGGAGTATCCAACTAGTATAAGCTCTTCTGATGAATGTTAGAGCACTCAAGTATGAGGTGGCCTATCTTGATTCCACTAAATTTTTACTTCAGAAGAAAAAGTGATCTTGCTAATTGTGTAACATAGTTGTGTTTTATAAGGTTAGAGTTTATAGGAAAACTTGTGCAGATATTTCCTGAATCTGTTAATCTATTCAGATATGACAAGATTTTGAATCTACAGAAATGCTTGGTTCTGGATGCAAATTTTATTCTTATCTGAGTAGAGGCAGGTATTCATTGTGTGAATATTTTTTTCTAAAGGTTGTTCTGATTATAATGTAACTAGGATACAATTATAACAAAAATAGGCATTTTTTTTCAAGTGTACTACTGCGACTTCTCTTTTCAGTAGATACTTGTGCCTTGTAAATTCTGGTTTGCTGCTTTTGTGTATCTGAGACACTCGTTGCATTTTGTTAGTGAAAGCAGCTTTTCTTGACCACTTGTTTAACTTTAAAAAAGCCCCTTTATGCATTTTTGTGATCCTTCTGCCTTTATATGTAGGCCAGATCTTTCCAGGGAAGAACATTTTTGGGAGGAGCAACCATTTTTTCTCAAGTTTGCTTCTGTGAGATGTAACCTGGTGGATTCTCAACCTATAAGTGAGACACCAGTTCATTCTTCCTTTGCAAAAAATAAGCACTAATGGAAGTGTATTCTTATTTCCCTCTTCATTTTATTAAGCAAGCAACTTGTACTTTAATATGTTGAGTATAAAGTCATTTTTGTGAATAATCAACTTGTTGGTCTTTTTTATAGGTTTGATCTTTTTTATATGTTATTATGAGTTCACTGTTCAAATAGTTCTTTAATACAGCTTGCTGTCTTTGTCTCCTAGAGAACTCTGCTGAAGCGGATTTATGGCTGCTGAATAGTTGTACAGTAAAAAACCCAGCTGAAGACCACTTCAGAAACTCCATTAAGTAAGTTAATACACTTGTTTACAAAAGAACGACGTATTTATCAATGAATTCTGTTTGGTTTGGTTTTTAGTTTTAAAAGCTTCATATTTTCAATCCAGTAGGAATTTTGTTTTTTTAGAGCAGCAAACCAGGATGAGTCTGGATGCTGTAGGGGTTACCCATGACTGGAATGCATTGGTGAAGTGTGTGGGATAGTGTTGGTAGTGCTATCAATACACTTGCTTGGAAAGGCTGCTGATCTATTGGAGACTTCTATAATAGTTTTTGAAGAAAATGCTGTTAAATTGATCTGAAGAATGTTGTGGGTTTTTTTAGTAGTAGAGTTGTTAGGTTGCCACTTTCTCCTCTACTTCAAATTCTAATTCAAAGTACAGATTTAAACTAAATATTTTATTTAAAAGGTGAACTGATTTGTGGATAATCAACAGTAGCCTTTTGAAGAATCTTTTATTTCTGTGTAGCATCTCATTGATAGTGCTGTAAAACACTACAGGGTAGTGATTTCTGCCTCTGACTTCTGCAGAAGTATCACTGTGGTGGGAGGAAACAGAAGGCCAAACAGTTACAATTGTGTTTTATTTCGCTGCAAACATGTGCTGTGGTGTGTTATTTGTAGATTTTACCTTTAGTAAATAAGTATGGTTATTTATGCAGTCGCTTATGTAGTGTGATATGCTGCTGATAGACTGTTGAAACTCAGTTTGGTGAGAAAAGCAGGGTGCTTACCGCTTAGTTCTTACTAAGTTCTTACTAAGTGCCTGGCATGGCCAGCAGGTTATGGAGGAGGGAGAAGCTGGGGATCTAACCCGGCTGCTTGCAGTGCAGAAGTTCCTAGCAGTCTGCTAGGGCTGCAACCTGAGGCAGAAGCAGTTTGCCCCCAGTAGGCAGAGCAACAATTTAAGTTTCCCTCTGCCCTCCGCAGAGGGTTTTAGTTCCTGACTGCTAGAACTGCATTTGGTGAGAAGAGCACTTGGGTTTTTTCCTGCTCTTCCACCTCCCATTCCTTTTCCCAGAATAGCTGCAGTTAGTATGTGGTGGCCAGCAGATCTGATGACAAGATCTTTTCCATTCCAGTTGTGGCTATCTTTCTGCTTGACTAATAGGCCAGAATTGATGTGGTGAGGTGTGTGTCCTTCACCCAGCAGAAAAAGTTGGTTAAGAAAGAGGAGCTAACAAAAAGCAAATGACCAAAAATATTTCCTTGAACTTTCATGTTTCTGTTGTCACTACGTTAATGAGCCCGATGTTATTTGTAGCCTTAGTGGCTTGGCTTTTTTTCCCTTGCTTTTTTCTTATCAGTCTTTTTGGGTCATTCTCTTTTTCTTCTCTTTGAGAGTTATTCCTTTCCTATAGCAGGCATAACTTATATTTTTTTGAGCATTTCCTTATTATAAAGAAGATCAACTTGTGTTGTAGTTATGGTAGTTGTATGGACTAGTTCTGTATTTTGGGGATGATTCAGTTATGAATTTGAAAAAAAACAAAGCTTTTCTTAAATACACCTTAATTTATTACAGCAGCAAACCAAAAGTGTGAAATTTGGATGATGCAAAGCTAATTACCATTGTGTCCTGTCATATTTGTTTGCTGGTAGCTATAGAGATTTTGTTTTTTCTAGGCTGGAGTAACAAGCTGGAGTAACAAGCTGAACAACACTCAGCCCGTGGGCTGTCAAAGCAAGCAAATTTGAGGTGGAAAAATTAATATGCAGCAGCTCGATAAGTTTGTTCTTTCAAATGAAAAATTCTTTAGCCTGAAAGTGTTGCATAGCATTACAAATATCATCATAACATGATGATGATACGAGAATTATTTCAATTTGGCTTATTCTTTAACCTCTGCAACAAATTTTCCTCATGATGTTCTTGCATATTGCTTTGACTCTCAAGCCCACCATTTCAAACTAGTGGTTGTAACGACCACTGGTTCAAGAATGGCTGTCTCAGAAGTTGGTTGCTCACTAATGCTGCATGCCAATGGTTGTAGAAGAACTTAAAAGGTTCTTTGGTTTCAGTGTCTTTTGAATTTATATATCTGTATCTATATAAAAGAATACTCATCACCCTTTTCATTAATGGCTCTGTTTTTATAGTAGCACAAGACCATTGACAACATAATGTTCATGACTTTTCCGATACTTTTTAGAGGTAGTCTGCTCCCGTCTAGCATTGACCAAGTTAAAGGTTTTGAGGTGGGGAAAAGATGCAGAGGACAAAGTTATATAAAGATCATTAACTCTTGGATGTGAATTGAGAGCCTTTCTTGGGCAGATTTTGTTTTCTCGTTAAACTGATGGTGAGGTTACGGTTAGAGGTAGGCAATAGTGATTAAGACTTCACAGAATAATGGAGTTGTTTTGGTGGACAGAATTTTAAAGATAATATCCTTCAGAAAGGAAGGTTGACTCCCGAAAAGTTGAAAGTAAAGAGTATAAAGTAAATCAGATAAATATGAGTTGCCTGATAGAAGTTAGAAAGATTGAATTAACTATGGAACGCAAATAGTTGGACACAGAAAAAGAATCTCCTCAAACAAGTACAATGAAATAAGAGGAAGAAAATACCCTTAATAAAAGCAGGAGAAATGATGCAAGGAATAGTGATATGCAGTGAAACATAGTCTGTACAATGGGAATTGGACATATTGCTGTAACTCTGTTCCTCTGTTTCTGGTACTTTTCCAGATAGGGTGTTGGCTTATTGATCTTAAGGACTTATGCATTTTAATTTTCCTATCTAAATTTAATTAGGAAAAAACATATTCCAGAGATCCAAACATGAGGAAAGTTTGATTCCAGTAAAAGTCTGAGATATATATATATGATTTTCAAGATGTGGTGTGCACAGTCTTTTTCATCATAAATTGATTCTCATAAATCAATCTGTTATGCTTTGCCTGTTAGTTTGTGATTTTGTACTGTATTTTAAAAATGGAGATGGACAGGTCTGTCAGCAGCGTAATATGTGGGGAAAAAAATGTTATATTTTTGGTAAAGCTTTGAGTCCATGCTAGCAGGAAAAAAAAAGGTTTTTAAGTTATAGTTCAAGAAAAGTTATACAAATTGTTAGCTAACACTAGCATATTTCATTTACTATTTGTATAGAAAATCCTCCTGAAAATGCATGATTCAAGGTGTCATATTGATGAGAATGAGTTTTCTAAAGCCTGTATTGACATTGTATCTTAAAGACAGCATGTGCTTTGTGTGTTTTAAATGCATTCAGGTAGGTACTTCACCTTACTTGGAGTCAGACAGCTCTGGAGAGGCTGCGGTAGGAGAATGAGTGCCAAAAGTCTTTGTAATGGCTGTCAAAGACAGTCACTTATTTTTAAGTTTTCTGGAGGAAAAGTGACTTTTTTTATTCTGTTTATCCTGGAGATATGAATAGACTTTACACTCTGAATAAGTCTTTACATGTCATTCTAAAAGCTGTCAAATATCTTCATAAATATATGCAGAATTTCTACCTTCTACCACAACTCATGCTGAGTTATTTTTATCCTGTAGCTCAGTTAATTAGAAATGAAAGCTGTTTTATGGAAAGGGGGCTGTTGTCTCTTTCACATTATTACTTTTAATGGTGGTACATACTTTCTTCTATCCGTTGCTGCATGGGTTCTGCCTGGATTTGTTTACTGAATAAACAGAAATAGATGATCATGTTACTTAAAGAAAAAAAAATTGTGTAATAAAGTTTAGCTGCTTATGTTTTGGATGATTGCATTCCTGAAATAAAGGCAGCAAAGAGCCCGGGAGACTTTCTAACTGAGAGAGTTCTTACAGGATAGCCTTGCCTTGGAAACCTTATCCTGTTTAGAGTATTTTATGTTCCAAATGGGCTTCATGGTTGAGACACCTCTAGGATATTACTCTGTTTTGAAGTACTGTAGAATAGCATGCAGTTAACAATGAGAAGTGACTTCAGAAATATTTTAAATACTTTATTTTAACATTTTACAAAGTAAATTTAATTTGCCTAAGAATTTAAATAAATACTTCAAGATAACCTACAATCTCTGTTTCAAAAGTAATCATCTTTTTTCTGCTGTTAACGTTTGGATGTGACCTCATCTCCTGTCAGTTAACAGACTTATAGGAGCAAAGGGTGTATCTATATAAATGTTTTGTAAGTAAACAGTATAAGTAAACACTGAAGAATGAAATATATTGTTAATATCTCTTGTAGATGGTCTTTCCTGTATTTCTTTTTTCTTTTTTTTTTTTTTCACCATTGGGCAGTTCTGTGATGACTTGAATGCCAAAGCATTCTTTCAAAGTATTCTGTCTGTTGAATTAATCTTGGAAAATTCAGAGCTTACTTTCAGTATTGTCGTCACTAAAATAACAAAAAGGGTTAGTCCACCATTTTCTGACTGTATCTCTATAATTGTCAAGTAATGTTTTTTGTTGTAATTTATTTCTTAAAATGTTTCCTAAACTGTAGCTGTAAGCATTACAAGAGTAAACATTCAATAAGTGAGTTATTAACTTTAACTTTTATGAACCACAGTAAATCTGTTTAAGGCTGTTTGAGGAAGAGAATTAAGCAGTGCTCATTACTTCCCTGAGAGCATGTTCTGAAGAGTTCACCTTGCTTAAAATAAATAAAGTTACTTTGTGCTTTGGTCCCAGAAGTTCCTCTTGTTTCATGGATCTGTTTGTGATCTTGCAGTTTTTCTCAAATGTTGGTTTTAGACATCTAACCCACTTCTAGCAATCTCTGGGGGGGAAAAAAAAACCCAAAACAAAAAACAAACAAACAAAAAAACCCAAAGAATTATCTCTACTTTTCTGGCTAAGCCAGAAAAAGAAGCTGTCTTCTTTTTCTGAAGACAGAAAAGAAGCTGTCTTGTTTGACCCTTTTCTTTGTGTCGTTGCAAGTTACAGGTGGCTTTTCCTAAGGAATTTTCCTTTTGATTCAAGTGTTCTATGTGGGAATGCGCTATCTGTCTTTGTGAAATAACTAAAAAGAGGACACATGAAGAATGATGTGGTTATG